TATATTAATTTTAATATCAAAGTTCATACAAGGGAAGGAAGTTCGATTCGGCTGGATGGTATAATCAATTCTTTTCTTTCAAAAATAAAATAAATAAAATTATTAGCAAATTATTTCAATCAAAGAGATAACGTCCGAGTGGCAAAAGTCACAAAAAGTCTTCTTGAAGTCATGTGTTCAAGCCTCCGGGGTGGCAAATTTAAGGTAAATCCTCCAAAGGATTTAAACCGTCCGGTTGAACGGTTGAACGGTTTTCTGATTTGTACCGGTTTGAACGGTTTTACCGGTTTTAAGTGGTTCAACCGCTCCACCGGTTTTAAATGTTGAGCCGAACTATTTTTGATACTGAGTATCGGTCCAACCGATTCAACCGACCGATCCGATCCGGTTTTTAAAACATTGATATGTACTGACCTCATATATATATATATATATATATATATAAACTACATATGGACATGTTTTATATGGTGTTTTATGTTTAGATATTTTTTGAATCAGAATTGTTCGGATCTCATTTACCGTCCTCAAAATCCTAATTAAATAACATGGTTGGTCAATCAGTTTTTTTTCTTCCTCTCATTCCTTTGCTTGCACACAACTAATTGGATAAGATTTGGAGTCAAAAGTGGGGAGGAAGTAGGCATGGAAAGTAAGAATAGGAAAAAGGAGAGATAAGAATAGCTTAACATCACCATCTCTTCACGTGATAAACCGTTATTTTCTGCTTGGCCAGATTCACTCTCTCTAGGCAGAATAGCAATGACACATACAAACACGCCACAAACTGCACTCCATGTGTTTAGAAAACATCTACTACCTATGATTTAATGCAATCCTTCGGTCAAACTCAAAGAAAAGGTACATTTAAAAAAGTCCTTAATTTGCCTCCTCCAAACTGCTAACTTACATATGACTTTTGGGGCTTGGGATGCCCCCCTCATGCATTATTCTAAAAAGAATACAAGATAGAGAACAAGAAGAACCTTCCACAAACTAATTAAAGTAGTGTGTGATTAAACATGTGCATGTGCTTCTGTTTATATGCATTAATCCAACCCAACTCATCAACACGTTTTATTGGGTGTTAATGATTTGATCAACTTTTAGTTAAAGCACCAACTTTAGTGAAGTTTACTATTGCTTTTAAAAAGTATTTGGGTTTGATTGCTTGACCTCTCCAAACTCTGCTTTACTCTTTTAATTATTCCTCATCCCTTAGGTAATAGGAGATGTGAACACAAGATGAGGTCTAACAACCTCTTTTACTTGATTTCCGAATTTCTAAGAGCATAAAGCGTTTTTTCGTTTGTGTAGGGACAGAAATGGTACGGGATGATGGAATTTTCCAAAGCAAACTGGAAAGGAATGGCTGACATAGAAAACAGAAAGGTTTTGCTTTATTTCCAGGCAATCCCTTCCTAACCCTGCCCACTTTGAGTAAGGAAGTGAATAATTGGACATGAATTTTTTTCCCCTGAATTATGCAAGGGGAAGATAGAGATATTTTTGAAAAAGTTATAACAGCACCAAACGTTATAATTT